GATTACCAAGAATTTTTATTGATAAACATCATCAACATGTAGTTATTGGCAGTTTGAATGTTATTAAAACCAAGTTTTAAAAAAATATTACGTATAGAGGTACTGATTTTAGATTAACAATTTCTAATAACAAGAGATTAATACAATTGGTTACGATTTCTGTTGGTAAATATGGTTTGCCTATGGAAGTATTTGAAGAATTTAAGTACGATATATTAAAGGACCGGATGAAATTAAATTTCTAGTCTAATTCCTAAGATTACTTATAAGGATTTCAAGCAGATGATAAGTACATTACAAAAATAATTCATTATTGTTTTTATTAATAAAAAGTGCCTGATAGTTCCGCTATATTTTGCAAATATTGTTTATGGTAGTTGTAAACTAGTGGGTTCTTTTCTGATCGAGTCGTGTTCGAATTGTGAAAAAAAAAATAATTGCAGTCAGGATTTTGTTTCTCTGTTTTATTTCACTCCTTCTATGGGACACTTTATAAAAAAAAGAAAATATTAAGATGATACAAGATTGCAATCCATCGTCCAGCCGTCTTTTATTCCTCCGACCACGTTTTTCTCGCCTTCGGTTTTTTCGCTACCGCTCCCCTTTCTCCCCCGGGTCGGGCCCCTCCGGTCTGGTCTCCCCCAGTCGTTGCCAGGTCCTCCTCTGTATATATTGGGCCCTCAGCCAGATCTTGTGAATCTGGTTCGACCTGTTGCCAGGTGCAAGCAGTAGATCCTTACAGTAGTATATTAGCCAAACATTTTTCATATAAATTTTTTCCAGGAAATGTATGAAATATGAATTGTTTCATACAATGCCGGCTAGTTTTAGGCTTTATATAAAATGGCGAATTTTAAACTTTGCCAGTGACATTTATATGATACAAAGAATTATCATAAAAAATTAACTATGCTCTCTAATATTTAATCAAAATCTAAACTATATACATCTGAACTTTCCACTAAACAATAACCCATGATCAGTGGCGCACACAAGGGGAGGGGGTTCCTGGGGGTCCGAACCCCCCTCCCCCCAAAGCCCTTGATTTTTTTCCGATTGATTATAATTCTAAGTATATAGTACGTAAAATTTAACTATTTGTTATTAATGATTAATTTTATTAATTAATGATAATTATTTATTCAATAATTAGTTTTTTACTGTGTTTTGTTCCCGAAAATCGGCAAAATCAAAAGAAGCATGATACAAGGATGGTGAACTTTCGACCCCGGACCCCCCCCTTGAAAAATTCCTGTGT